GCCGCTCCGGCGGGCGTGACCGGCAGCGGGCGCAGCCTCGTGACGCGCCGGGCCGCGCCGGACGCGAGGTCACGCTACAGCCGAGCCTGATTTCCCCGGGGGCCGGACTGGGCCGCGCCAGGCCGCGCCGCTCCCCCGGCGGCCGCGCCAGGCCGCGCCGCTCCCCCGGCGGCCGCGCCGGGCCGCGCCGCTCCCCAGGCGGCCGCGCCAGGCCGCCCCTCCCCCGGCGGCCGCGCCAGGCTGCGCCGCTCCCCGGCGGCCGGGCGCCGCCGCTGGGACGCCGGACCGAGCGGCCGCTGGCGTCGTTCTGCGCCCGCTGGCAGCGGGTGCAGACACCGGCGACGGCTGGTGACCAGCGCCCTCGAGGTGGCCGACTGTGCGCTGGTTATAGGCCGCCTACGGGGCTTAAGGGAACCGGCTGAACACCGTGCGATGTCGGGGCCGAGTGTTCTCTCATTGTATATGTAAGCGTTTGTTATTCTGCTCAACGTAGTTCCTATTTGCTCATGCGACCACCAATAGACAAAACTGAATTGCTCTTCTTAAGTGGCGGGGTCGAGGTCTATGCCATAAGTCATTCTCAGCAAGCACTCTGATCCTAAAGCCATGTCTATAAAACTTTTGGTCAAGGTTCTCTCAAACACGACCGTAAATATACTTGCTGTGTGGTTAAATGGCTTTCACACACGAACTTCTTGATATAACGAAGTGATTAGTAGTAGAACATAACGTTTAAAAGGCATGTTCCGAGCACGACATTTACTCCGCTTACACAAGAACACACAATCTGACGTGTCTGGCTTCACCTTGCTGCAAACTTCACATAAATTTGCTGGGAATTGCGAGCACCTTGCCGGGTACATGGCCTCTGTGTTTTCCTGGCGTGCGCCGGCCTGACATCTATACTTCCTTGACACGAGTCTGAAGCGCGCCACTAAAAGGCCGCAAGTTTTACAAAAGGTGCCACGAAAAGATGACACACATCGACAGCCATTACGGACGAACGGCGCCACGAGCGGCCAACGTGTTAACGTGAGGCCCGTCCGAGGTTTCCCAGCAACCCGGCTTTGCATGCCCAAAGATGCACTCCACGCAGCCGTTTCTGGGAATGTCTGGGACTTGCAAAGCAGTTTTCACAGGTCAGATTTAATTTCCTTGCCGGTCATGATTTGCCCTATGACAACAGAGAAGGCATTACAAATGGAAGCTATACCAATGTCGATAGAAAAGGAAGAACCCATCACCTGCATAACTTGCATAAGTCAATACAGTGAATCAATCCACTCAATTATTCAATAAATCCACCATCAATACCCCGCGAATAACAATGACGAATCATTTATCATGCCTGTAATGGCGAATTGGGCTGATTACACATTTCGAGGACGCCTACGCCCATTAAACCGACCAGTATGTGCTACGTCAGTGGCGCCACTACACGCGGTTGATAGCTACGTGCAGCGTCGCCACTTCCTGGTCCTCCGCATCGCCAGTACCTGATTTCGTGCAACACCATGGTGCAAACTGTCCAGACCCGGGTGTCGCGCCAGTTCGGGCGGGCACACTCCAAATAGAAGCGATTGGCCTGCGTGTTTCCTGTTCACGTGCGTGCGCGGCTGTCAGGCAGCACCGCTGAGGTGGTGAACGCACCAAGCCAGCTGGTGGCGCCGAGTGCAGGTGAAGCGCTGGGTGAACACGGGACGCAGGGCCGCCAACGATCAGAGGTCGACCGCGGACCTGGCTGAAGACGGGACGCAGGGCCGCCAGTGACCAGGGACGGGTCAGGGGGTCGTCGGACAGGTCAGGGGGTCGTCGGACAGGTCAGGGGGTCGTCGGACAGTTTAGCCGGGTCGTCGGACAGGTCAGGGGGTCGTCGGACAGGTCAGCCAGGTCGTCGGACAGGTCAGGGGGTCGTCGGACAGTTTAGCCGGGTCGTCGGACAGGTCAGGGGGTCGTCGGACAGGTCAGCCAGGACGTCGGACAGGTCAGGGGGTTGTCGGACGAGTCAGGGGGTCGTCGGACGGGTCAGGGGGTCGTCACTCGTCAGCCAGGCTGAGACGGCATCTTCGAATGCAGATCCGTACAGCCGGCTGTTAGTTTTGCAGCGCACAAACAGCTGTGGTTCTGCTATACCCGAAAAACTGTGGCTTTAGGGTGCGCGAAAAACTGACGCGTGCGTGACCATTATGCTTTGCGAACACGCCACTTATGCGTTTATAACACAAGCATTCAGCTGGAATGCAGTCCGTTTACCGGGCCACCAAGGCGCCGACAAAGGGACAGGACAAAGGCCGTGCCCACTTCCAGTCAGCGTCCCACTCACACAACCGTGAACTACGGCCTGGCAACACATGAAAAAGCGGCCTAACGAACGATGATGTTCTGGAGCGCAATGAAATCCATGGACCAGTGCGCGGCGCGGTCTGCGTTTGTTCAAGTCGACTGGGCAGCCAAGGTCGACGAGAACACTGCCAAGGGATGGGGCCTCGGGCTCTGCGGCATCCTCCGCAGCTGAGGCAGCGGGTGTGGCAACAGCGACAGACGGAAGACACGGCGGGACTGACGGATCCAGTCCGAGTCTGAGTCTGAGTCTGGACAGTCACTGGGAGCAGTTAACGCTAACACAGTGACAGAACAGGCTGTGAAGGTGTAGTAGGTGGATCTCAGTTTATCTATGTGCCAAATGTAATGAAGTGAAGTTCACGCCGGGAAATGCAGCTTCTCAGAGGCTGGCTTCGACCCCTCCCCATGAGCAGCGTCTGACCAAAGCCAGATCCCGGTCCCAGTCAGACGGTAGCGGTCACGGCCCGGTCCCAGCCGGACGGCAGCGGTCACGGCCCGGTCCCAGTCAGACGGTAGCGGTCACCGGTCCCAGCCGGACGGCAGCGGTCACGGCCCGGTCCCAGTCAGACGGTAGCGGTCACGGCCCGGTCCCAGCCGGACGGTAGCGGTCACGGCCCGGTCCCAGTCAGACGGTAGCGGTCACGGCCCGGTCCCAGTCAGACGGTAGCGGTCACGGCCCGGTCCCAGTCAGACGGTAGCGGTCACGGCCCGGTCCCAGCCGGACGGCAGCGGTCACCGGTCCCAGCCGGACGGCAGCGGTCACGGCCCGGTCCCAGCCGGAAGGCGAGAACCAGCCCGACGCTGCCGACGCCGTCCTGCACGGGACCACGCGTTCGGCGGGCGGCCGACGCCGCCGCGTCCGGCTGGCTTCAAACGGCCGCTGCCGGGACGGGACACAACGTGCACTGTTGGCCAGCCGACCGGGCCACAGCGAGCTCGGCCGTCCGCCCTCAAAGCAGAGGACAATCTCTCCAAAGGTCCGTGCTCTCCGGGCGGCGTTGATGGCGTGCGAGGCG